AATTTAAAAACCGCCTCAAAGTATTTTTATGGTCATTTTTTGCTTTTTCCCCTTCTTTCATTGTCTACCTTCACTCTTTATGTTTCGTTGAGTCATCAAACCATTCTTTAGATTGCCGCTCGGTATCGATACGTAAAATAATTCAAACCTTCAATCAACAACATTGGAATTGTTCAATGTAAAAAAATTATAAAAGCTGATATTAAGACAGGTAAGAAGACTGGAGTGAATCAACAGCATCAAGTATATTTGTTATAATTGTTTCTTTTTCGTACTAACATTGTGTAAAATGTTTATTTTTAACAACAATAGAAGCCATGAACTAAAACCATCGCGCTACCTAATCGAATTGAACAGCCTGACTTTGCGTTCGCTGTGATTAATCACCATCACTAAGAATAGAAAGTCTAAATAGCAGCAAAAAATTGTCTGTAAGACAGCAGTCCTGAGGAATTGAATTGGTGAAAGTTTTTGAACCATCTCTGCTAACGAGATGGCTTACAGCTCGCACGTACTATCGGACCTGAGAAGCGTATCTAATTGTATTACTTCTATTCAATGCTTTATTTGAACACACTAGTACCCGCCTTGGTCTTTAATTTTGCCTCCAACCATAAACAAATTTGTACTTATCCCTGTAAAATGCCGGTAGTAGCCCGAACAAAAGCAGATCTTAACACACAGCTACTTCAGAACACGAATCATATCAAAATTGTAAGCCATGGCCGCAGATATTTTTCGCATTATTCGGTGATGTTCAATGAATTAGAATATTACCTGTCAAAATTAGCAAAGCTTGTTCTCTACGAAGAATCTGACCTGGATGGTTTACAGTTCTATTTCAACAATAGTTTGGTAAAGGTTGATTGCGGGACGGGTAATACCGAGATTGTAGAATATGAGCTAAACAAGGAACAATTCATCGAAACGGTCAAAGTTGTGTACATGGCAGCTGCTAATGGCAAAAAGATTGTTTTTATCAATGAGCTGAAGGATATCAACCCTTAGGGACGTTCTTTCACTGTTGTAACTTACCATCCCGTATTCATATGGATGGTGAGAATCGTATATTTTGCGAGCAATGAGCAAATTTACGTTTTTTTATAGCGCAGTTACTTAAGAAGAATGGCTGAGGAAGAAGTGATTATCATTAAAATTTATATGTGTTACTTAAAGAAGATGTTTTATTTTACAGTATTGGTATGAAGAAGTAGTAATTGGCACGTGTGTGCAGTCATTGCCAAGGCACGGTACACAGTTACAGGAGATGCTCATCTAATATGAGGCCTGAGAACATAAATTTTTAACATGGTAGGTTTGTGCCTATGATTCACCTTAGAAGTGTTCTTGTACATTCTCACACGCCAACGTGAAATATTTATTTTCATGAATGGTGTAAGGTGTAAATGGAGTAGCAGGTAAATTTGGTACTTTCCAAGTGGTGGAGAGGTGCTTTATTTGTTGTTGACATGAAGAAGCATTTTTTAGCGACTTAGCATTCATATTGCTGCTTTCACCGTGTCATTTCTACAAATATTTGCTGCTTTTGTTTCGCCCTTTGGTTTCCATGATGTCGATTAAAAACAAACTGAAATCAACCTGTGAACATTTTTTGGCGGACATACACTCATTTCGCATGCCCATAAAGAACGAAACAACGCTTACCAAAATACTCTTGGCCACGCATATCACCTTTACCAAGCTAATGAACCAAATTGACATTTACAACCGGCATATACACGTCAAGACCATCAAATTACAGAAAAAACAGGAAGATGAGCAGTTTGTATTGTATGAGTACAACAATCGCGATGTTACATTCACGGTTCTTGTGCACAATGAGCACGGAATCGTGCAGATTGAGACTGGACTGATTGAGCTGAATTATAAGGCCATGAACTACGTCAACAAACTAGAAATAAAGGATCAGCTGGAACAGATAGAACTTTTTCTGTCTTTGTACGCTGATTTTAAATGGCGCTGCTGTGATTTTTGTCTTGAATACACTATCTTTCCCGATTTCAGCTTTCCCATTGGTAGGGCGCTTGAGAAAGATTTTGTGGCTGCTTTCCATCTAGAATGCAATGAAAAGAATGATGAAAAACACAAAGTGATCTAATGACAGTGAAAATATCTTTCCGTGCTCGTTGGAACGGTTTGATCCTCAGCCAGGGATAAGTAGCCTGGGCGTATTGCCATGTGGCAAATAAAATACAATGAGGTAAAAATTGCGGTTTGTAAAATTAACAGTTGTTGCATTTTTTAACCAAATCGCACGCGGCTTCAAAAAAGTAATAGCGCACCGATCAGATGATCCTTCTAGCATTTTACGCTTTGGTACACGTTTACACAATCAATTATCAGAGAAACGAGCTTATTTATTAATCTTGTGCATATCATCTTACAACAGCCAGACACGTTCATTGGATCGGTCTTTCTCTCCACCATGCAGCGTTATTAAGAATTGTAGCAAATTTGTATCGCTTGTCCATCCAGTACCTGATACATATTCAATTTAATGTTGTCTCGCATTATAAAATTGTCTTTTTTCAACCCGATTTTGTGTTAATTCACGTTTATCATTTCTTCCAACCTCTTTTTTAGGTCCTTCACCGTTACCTCGTCATCGATTTTCACGAATACTGTTTTCCCTAGACCATCAGTACACTTCACCGAGATTATCATTGGGATTGAAAGGAAAACTTGAAAATAAAGGGTGTATAAACTTGTATAGGAGAATAATTCGGATATTGTTGAGATGAAGGGATTGTTTGTAACGAAACGAATATTCGAAACTTGGTTTCTTTGTTAAGCATACTTGTAGAGACATAATTTTACTAATACATTCATTCAGAATATCACGTTTAAATGCGCTTTTACAGACACAGATCAAATAGCGTGGCACACCAGTTAAATTTATACAATGCTTTATTCGACTGCCCTATCATAAAACGGGAAGCGTGTCTTTTTGGTTCGGCGTATATCCTAGACTTTAACGATTTTTCTACAAAATTACGTTTATTTCAACATCAGACACAGCATAGTTTGACTAACCACACATTTTGCATTCGATCACTCCACCGACATTTAATTCGTAAATTTGTCTGCGTTGATTATCCCAATGTGCCATAGCTGGTGCGAATACTTAGTGTTAATACGATTTGATCGTGGTAGAAAGACTAAAAATAACATATGAACTGTTTTAATAGCGAAATACAGCGTACTGAAACACGAGTGTCTTCTATAAACAATCACTGTTCTATTTCATCTCGTATGCCAGCCAGGCAAAGCCAGCATATACTGTACTCTCCTCCTTATATGTACTCCTGCAAATTTTGTGTTTCCTCTTTTGAAACACCTCTCCAATCTTCTCCCACCACAATTCCAAGTTTGGTTTCTTATCAAATTTGTGCAAAAAAACTAAAAACGGCAGCTGTTTTAGCTCCTCATCGCTCACCAGCTCATTCAGTATACCGATATTCTCATCTATCCTCCCGATATCTGCCGCATCAATAACGAATATAACACCGTTGCAACCTGTAAAATAACATTTCCAGTACTTTCTAATGTTGCTATTGCCAGACAGGTCCCACAAAGAGTATTTCCTGTTCTTAAATGTTGTTTTCTGCATGTTGAACCCGAGTGTGGGTGGCATGTACGGCTCACGCATCGTCTTTTTCTTGGGATATTTTAGGAGCTGGCTCAAAATCGTGCTTTTTCCTGAGTTGTCCAAACCTAGTATGATTACTTTCTTTTCGCGATAATAGTATAAACGAGAAAGAAGCGCGCCCATTTCGCTTTATTTGTGATTCTTTTTGTTTTGTGCGTACAATTGATTAGAAGCGTGTGATGAAACAATGTTTAAAACATGATTTGTTGAGTTGTAAACATGTTTAGGCGTGTAATACGTATGGACAGGCCAATCGATGGCAAAACAATCAAAAATGCATTTATTTACCGCTGTGGAACACCTCACATAGCTGCATCAACCAATTGATTCTCTGAACGAAGTTAAAGGTAAAAGGCACGAACATATGGTAGAAGGAAGAGATGAGAGCCAACCAGATGCACACGAAAAACTCTGAAGCGCTCACAAGATGATGGGCAATAAAACCTGGACGGATCGATGAAAGTTGTCCTATGCAAAAACATGTGCTAAAAGAGTTGATTTAGGTGTTTTAGTTATGAAAAGGTAGCTAAACAAATTTTCTAAGAAACATGAGTATGCAACATGCATCAACTACTTGGTTGAAATGCTGAACTGAACACAAAATACAATTTGCGTAATTAAAGACTATCTTTGTAGATTACACTAGAATTAACCTAAAAAATCAATTACTGCTAGAAAATGCGCTTCTTCATGCCAACACTAGGCTAAATATGCCTTCACTGATCGTTTCATTTTTAAAAGGATAAATTTGCGCAATTAAAATACGTTTTCATGTGTAATGGCGTAAAATTACGAAGAGTTCATCAAACTTATGCATTCATAGGATCAAGAATGGTAGCATTTCTGCAAGATCTAAGTAAAGTTACACCTCATGAACACATATATGGTCATAGAACAGAATTATCAGACCAAAATTTGCCTGTAAAATGATGCAAGGTCAGAAGAGGAGTAGGTGTATGTGTATGGCAATACATAAACACGTTTCTGTAAAAAACTAGTACAAAATATGACTGGAATAGTATGTAGATGTATGGATTAGTGTTACCAAACCGATCCTACAGTTTCAAAAGAATAAAGTGCTATCTTCGCGCTTGTGGTGTTATCACAGTGGTTGATGAATTTTAGTCCTTTTTACTTAAAAACCTAAACTACTTAAAAACTGATCGATTTACCTCGGTGATCATGTTCGGTACCACATAGACAACTTTTAACGTTTTATGATGGGATTGACCTGATTTATGGAAATTCTGTTGTAACGTGTATGCCTGATGGCAGGTTCAAATTCACAACCAAACGTGCTAAATTACTATTTCTCCTTGTCAACGCTGAAAAACATATCTTCCTCAGCAACAAAATACTAAGCCAAGCTGCAAAGAATAGTTTTGGATTAAGCGCTTTCACTCTTTAACTACTTTTCTATAGTTCCCTCCAAAACGCGATAGTATTCCTCGTTCAAATCGTAGACAATTTTATACTTACATCCGTGTTTACCTTCGATCTTGAACACATCCTCTTTCTTGTTTCTACGTTCATACACCATCGTGCTGTTCAATACTTCAATATCACTCGTTCTGCTATCGCTCTGTAAAAGAAATCGGTTCGGTTGCAGCTTTGTCAACCGTGCCTTGGCACTTACTTTCACAAATTTTAGTTTTTTTACCCTAACCATGTAAAACATGCCGTTCCTCTCCACGACAACACCGACCAACGTTCCATCCACATCTTTAATCTTTATCGTTCTGTCACAGTTTGCATCGCTACTGTTGATATTAACCGCTGTATTGTCAAATATAAGACATAACAACCTGCACTCGCTTTTCACCTTCAAAACGATGTGTGAAAGGAAATAATAAATTGGTTTTGATAAAAGTGCACTAGTGCTGAAAAACAGACCATTTGTCTTCTTGTGCACGCCTTCATCATTGATCACTTTTAAGTCGATGCATTTCGCTGGTAACAAATAACTCGGCTGCTTTCCTGAAAGGGCCATTATTATATTCAGAGCTTTGGTTATGTTGTCAGTATTTTCATGGTTGATCTTCATGCCCTTTATCATACCTGTGACCTTACTCAGACTTTCATCGTAATTTAGCCTTTTTGTACCTGAAGAATTGGTATCGCTGTGCTCTGACCGGTATAATTCGCCTGAACCGTGCCTCTGTTTTTCACTCGAACTATTTTGACCGGTTGATCTGCACACAATATTCATCACATGCCTCTTTTTACCTTCCTCTATTGAAAAGGCATCATCGGACGAATGCTTTTTTGTATCTTCTTGTGTGATCTTGTCATAAAAATGCTTTTCGTCATTGCCAGCACGATCAGCCATTTCAAAAATACCCAGCTGTTCATTATGCTCAGTCGCAAGCATTTCTCTAACTCTACCGATTATAACCACACACATGCCGAGCAGCCGTTTTAGATGCGTCCGATCGTTCAATATTTTGTTATCTATGAGCCTATTCGCCATTGATCTATCATTCACTTTCTGTCGAAGTGTTAAAACGTTAACTTTGACCGATAAGGCATTGGTAAGAATGTCTGATAATGTTTCATCATTTCCAGCAAGTGTCCGTACACGCTCGCTTATTTTATCACGGTTTTTACCGTTACCATCCAATCCTTGCTCCCGTGTGAAGAGTTGCTCACCACTTTCATTTGAATTCAGCGGTAATTCCAACTTATTGGGCATAGTTTTTATTTTCTTGTGGTGAATATTACCGTATAGCTTTCTATCTTCGCTTCTAATTTCTTCCATCACTGCCATATCGTTATAATTCTTGTGCTCGGCCTTCTTGTTGTCCTGGCCGTGATATCCATCACTAACTGCACCAAAAGCCTCTTCATCGATTTGCTTAGTATTTCCCTCCTTCTTATCAAAGTGGTGCTCATGTTCCTCTCTGTCCGTGTTTCGGTCAACATTTCTACCAGCACAGGCTCGAACAATCTCGTCACACAGCACCTCCCTGATCGCACATACATCGTAATCATTTCCAAAAATTGCAGTGCGCCATCTTCTCTCATCAACCATTTCATGGACATCCTCACATTGGGACAACACAAGAAATCTAACAGCCATTCGCTTTGCTCCCTTTCTCAGGCACAACATACCTGCCTTGTAGAACACTAGCCGTTGTTTTGCACAGTTCTTTATTTTCAAGGTGTTTACTACCTTGTTAATAACAGTCGGCTTTAAATCGTTGATGATCTCCACCACAAATTCTACAGCCCTATCCTCATCCATACTTTTTATGAGGCGTATCATTTTGCCTATCTTCATTTTTTTGGTGTCATTAACGTCTTTTGCTTCTACGTTATTCATCTTTTCTCCATAGCAGTTCATTCTCTTTACCAGGCACATGTAAAACACTTCCGAGTTTGTTTTCGCACTCTGGCACGCACGTTCAATCAAATTCAGCTTGTAAAAAAGTGCGGAGTATTGAACATGCCGGATCCTCCTTAGCTTTGTCATAGCATCAGCAATTGTATCGTTTATATACGATGAGATGCTTGCTAAGAGCGACCTGTAACTTATCATCTTCGCTTTAGGTAAGGCAGATTCACGATTGGTGTGAATATTTGCGCTGTTCCTATTTTCAACGGCATCACCGCTTATCTCACATATTTTTTCCGCTTTCTTCCTGCAATACAAAATCCCTCCCTCCACACAATAAACATACAAATCGATTCTCGTGAAATAACTTTCCTTTAGCATGCGCTCTTCGCAGTCGAATACCTCAACATTAAGTATGTCCATCTTGGTAGGGCCAAGAAGCCTGAGAGTTGCTGTTTTTAGACCAAGACTTCCGTAGGGTATGCGTATTAATTGGTAAGGATGAGCAAAATTGGTAAGTACTTTTAGAGAATTGCGTAGCATTGGTATTGCGCTGTCTGTTTATTTATCAAACGCAAGTTTTAACCTCGTAATGTTTCACATTAAGATAAACAAATACGATTGTCCATGAAAAAGTTGAGGTTTATATACGTGCTGATTGATGAGCAATATGGTGCAAAGTTCATTGCTCTATGACGAAGAGAAACACACGTAGCAAGGTTGAATACGTAATACTAAAAAATACGTACTAACATACCGAATCCATTAAAATACGTTTATTGATCACAACAACCCGCTAACAGCAGTATTTGCAACCAATTAAGAACATGATTGACTGCAAACACTATTAAATATTCGTTAAATCTTCATTCTCTTGGCTGTATCTTCCTCTTCGTCCTCTTCATCAATACTAAATACGGTAATTAAGGGCGGCTCTGACAGCTCAAAAACAATCCTCGCCTTGTCCAATATAAAGCCTTTGAGTTTTATCTGATTCTCTTCGGGGATGTCCTTCCCCCCTGTAAAGTCAGGATTCATAAGAAATATTGAAATATCCTCATCTTGGGCCAAATTCGGTTCGTCAGACTGAGAAGCACTTATCTCTTTAGCAGCCATGTTTTTATCATTTTTGCCCACATTCTCCTCTTCCTTTACATTTTCTGTAAGCGCTTTCACCTGCGGACATTCGTTTCGTTCTTCCAATCCATCTTTGCCGTCATTACCGAACTCGCCCACTTCCAATGTTTCCTTTATTTCCTGTTTTTGCCCTTTAATCGATTCATTGCCATTCTTTTTCTCTTCACCCTCCTCAAACTCACATATTGTCCCTTCATCTACTTGTTTACCACCATTATCCGTCACAAGAGCCTTCATACTTATTTCATCATGAGCTATCACCTTGCTCTCATTGCCATCAGCACCATCCTCCTCTCCGCTATCCTCTTCATCCACGGTCTCGATACCCTCATCATCCTCTATTTTCTCATCATCTTCAATGCCCTCGTCATCTTCCTCTATTTCCTCATCTTCCTCTATTTCCTCATCATCCTCAATGCCCTCATCATCCTCAATGCCCTCATCATCCTCAATGCCCTCATCATCCTCAATGCCCTCATCATCCTCAATGCCCTCATCATCCTCAATGCCCTCGTCAATACTTTCCATCTCACTGCTCTCGTACTTAATCTCATCACTATTAATTTCTCTATCTTCTTCATCCTCATATTTCCCAAATTGTTCATTATCTTCACAGGAGGAAACCAAACTTACATCAATATCATCCCTCACGTCCAAACACTCAAGTATTCTGTTTGGTAATCCCGGATAGCTCACATTGACGAAGAAGCCTGCTCTCACAAACTGTCTGCCCCTGAACTTCCCTATGATCACGATGCTTGTCACGCCAAACATCATTTCTACAGGCACTTTCATGATATCTACGGGTTCAGCACAGAGCGTAAAGCCAAAGCGCCCTTTAGAGAGCGGTCCGACAACGTCCTCGCTAAGCTTCTGGTCATGTGCATCCTTTTCCGGGTCACCGCAGTATATAATCGTAAACTCCACATCTTGGTTATCCAGATCAGTGTCTATGGTTATTTGGAACGGTATTTCATCTCTTATGGAGAACTGCTGTTTTAGTGGTTTGATGGATTTTATTGAGATCATTGCTTTGTAGAAGTTTGGCGTGGGATAAAAAATTTATTTTTGAGGAGGAAATTGTAGCGCAATTAAGGGCGTAGTGAATAAAAGTGCGATGGTGGACGGCTCTTCTGGTACAGAGTGTTTTATCGTAGATCGTAGTTTGATTATTTATGCAGGTAAATCACAGTTTAAACATCCTGTTACAGGAAAGCAGGTTCTTTCAAATGGTGTTTCTTTATCCGCTTCTGTTTACCTACTGCCTGCTACACTTCCTGCCAACTGATCGTTTGGTTTACGGTACGATTTCTTTTATCTTTTCCTACGTTCTGCTCACTCATTCACACATCATCGCTCCAAGCTGCTTTCAAGGTGTATCACAAGATTGAATGGTGCAAAAAATGCTTTCAAGTACACACCGTTGTACCGAAGGTTGTGGTGCTGAACTAAAGTTTACTTTGCGGTTGGTATGCAAGTAAAGGCGTCGCAAATATTCCAACTTGCTAATGCTTGCTTGTGAACGTGTCTCAGACACACCTTGATCATAACCTGCACACATCCGAGCTAGCAACGCATTATCTCCTGCTTGTTACAGCTCATAAGGTTCTCTATCCATTTGAATGCACCGATGAAACAGGTACAAACACGTTCTTAACGCCATTCTACTCCCCATATATGTTCCTATCTTAACTACGCACCTCTTAACCTCCTTTCCGTCCGTAACTACTCGAATGACTACGTCGTAGTCATTCACAAAAAAGAAGACGGCAACATCGGGAGCGAGCTTCAAGCTACGCAAGAACCTTATCATCTTGTTATAACCCACACTCACACTCTCCCCAACAAGAAGAGTGCCTATATTGCATATCCAGCACATTCCACGTTTGTCTAACACGTTCTTGGCATAACAAGCGTTGAAAGTGCAGCCATCAAGATCGACTGCTATCAGTATGTGTGTGCCGCTCACTATCTTGTCAACTATGTTCTCGTACATCTCGCCCTTTTCTGTGTAGTACACGTAGTGATCGCCTCTATTTGGACTCATAATGCACAGCACCTCCGAGCGCGCTACCGGATGTTTTTGAGAGAGTTCATTGTTGAATTTCAGCACTTTTCGACTGAGCGAATCGTTATGGCATGTGTAGATGAAGTATGATACAGAAAATATGAATATAAGAAAAAATACAAGGAAGAGGCAGAGAAGCTTAAGCCAACTCGTGGTCTTCATGAGATATCGATAAAGTTGTCGGTTTTAAGTATTCGAATTCCGCCCAAAAGGTACAAATTAATCGCACTTATAGTCATATTTCAGAAAGATATCGAACAGGAATTATTGGAAGACACATATTCATTTAATTCAGTGGTAGAATGTGATTTGGTGTTTAGATAGGATTACCACATCACGTTGAGCACGTAGTACCCTCCAAAACCATTATATTGTTTATCTCTGTATTCAGCTTTGGGATGCATTACCGCTCTGCTGCTCAGTATTGCACAAATTAAACAGCTCAGGAACACGCCATCGGCATTTTACGCGCGTGATGCTGTGTTATAGTTCATTCGTGGTTTTTGAGAGTGGAGCAGAATCAAACTCATATATTACACCGATTGCTCTTCATATCACTACATCGCACCATTTGTGAGTAAACTTTTGCGAGATATCACCAACTCAAGCCTGTCCGCCGTTGATCCATAAAGAAGCGCCTGACACACCGCATGTTGATGCAGGCGAGTTACAACATTGCCGAATTCAAAGACCCGCAAACCATTGGTACGTTTAAGTGCGTAAGTCAAAGCAAACACACGTAACAAATCTGCTTATTTATGGATCGCTCCTATGATATAGGAAAATACATACAGCTAGCATTGTTGTACCTGGTCTCTCACGAATGAGCAACACTTCGTAGCAGGCTATTGCTGTTCAGACAGTTTTACCTACAAAAAACTTTGACAGCGTCGCAATTTCTTCTACAGAAGAACTCTTGCCATCATAAAGATAGGCCACAGGACCAGTACGTCTCGTTGTATCTTTAGCAAGATTATGGTACTCAACAGAACCGCCAGTAAAACATTCAAGACAAGAATTCTTGAAAAGAATAAATGCAATTTACTAAACCGTGATCTACATTGAAGTAAAGCATACGATCATATCACGAACAGCTCGCTTAAAATATTACCTGGGAAATATTTTACATAGAAATATTCTAATGCTCAAATCGGTGCCGAGACACGTTACAGCAGCACTTAAGCTCAGAAATACTCGTCCACACTCACAAATAGGAAATCAACCAGATATACGTAGAACTCAAAACAGATCTCTCTGGCACCAGCATCCTCAACATCGAGCAACAGTACCTCATGCATGTATGCTAGGAGGCGCAACAAATGATACGCATTACACTGCTTCTCCAGATCAAATTTGCCGTATCTCTTCTTTTCCTCGGCTGTAAACAGCGTGTAGTAGCAAAGTATCTTAAAACAGAGCATAACATGTTTGATAAACTCCTCCAACTCTTCGGAGTATATTGTCGGTTTATTTACCATCATAAATGATCGGAACTCTTCAAGTATCTCAGTTATGTTGCTGTTGATAGATTTGTTTGGCTTGGTGTACGAATATATACTCGTATTTTCATTTCTGTTGCCAACAATCACTTCATCTGCTACCAATGCATTCATTTCGGTATCGTTCTGTATGTTTTTCTTGTCCACCTCGTTTTCTAGGCCCTGGATGTCGCTTCGTGCATTTTCGTCGTCTTTCATACCATCCGTACCATTTTTCAGACTTTGTCCTTTTTCTAGCCTGTCATCATTTCTGCCACTTTCTCCTTCTTCTATCCAGTCACCATCTCTCCCACCCGTTTGTTTCTCGCCAATCAGCAAGTCCACCTCGTCCTCATCGACATTCTCCTCCACAGCCAGGCCTCTACCTCCCCTATTTCCAATCATCGCACGCTCGTAATCCTCAACCATTTTAGCCTTCAGAACGGTCGGCATGTACAAAAAGCCGTTGTTATATCTCACCATGCTGATCTTAAACTTCCTTATAGTCTCTATCGTGGATGGAAATATTTGTGTGTCATCTGCAGGCACGTTCAAATTAGAAAGCGTTTTTAGAACGTACAAACCATACAGGTCATTCTGTACGCTTGTTACACGGCATTCCAACCACTCCTCGTTTATTTTTTTGTACACGTAGTTGTTTACGTTGAACTGGTCTGACATGGAATGGGCTGACATTTTGCAATAAATTAATTCTGCGGTACAGAAGCTCGTGTTGCAATATCTCAGCTATGGATGTGTTATACAGTTTCGTTAGAGAGTGCTTAGCCCAAAATGAGTGTACTGTCAGCGGGTGCTAGTGAAGCTGTTGTAAATTATACCGTGCCATACGTATGTCACCGATCTGCCTGGTTGCGTAAGTAAAACTGCCAGCGACATGCTCAGCCTTTTCATCACAAAATGTGTGTAAACCACGTGTTATGCATCATAAATTGAATACCGGACCGAGCAGAACCACCGCATCATATCATCATGCACCTATGGCAAGATCCATCTTACATACGTGATATAACGACATCCACCCTTACCACATAAAATAACCGTATAAGCTCTTAAGATCAAGTAAACGTGCTACATTGCAATGGATTGTAGACCGTAGGTTCTGCTGGTGTATGTGGCCGTTCCCTATTTAGTGTTCGCATGGTGCCACTTTGATTGGTACACGGTTCTACTACGGTTACGGTGATATTCGCTATGATGCAGGCATAGTATTTGTGCATCGTTTCGTTGTTCAGCTATTTTAAGAGTGACCGTGCTCAATTCGTAACCGGTATTATTACCAACATTCCATTTTTAGTACGGTTCTCCATCCCTGTTTTTGATTTTGCAGCTGGATGGTAAAACATTTCAACGCGTCCAACACTACAGCGGATTATCTACCGATAATGCTTCAAGCAATAAACGTAGTTAAATGCAAAATACGACCATGGTATTGATTACGTACGCATTGGTGGCCCACGCGGGTGTAACACCGAGTGTATGTCCCGGACAGCTTCTTATATTAAGTGACATAAATGACCGGTACTAGGCAAGCACCCTGCTGTTATGATTCGGTTACCGCATCGGTGCATTCATTAAAGAAGGCCTGTCTAACCCGGAGTCATCCGTGATGAGCGTTCTGAAATGCGTAAAATTTTTATAAAAATTATTTCCTATTTTAAACGATCATAATTGCTAATTTTGTTTGCTATACCCGTAATTAAAGCGATCTGTGTGCAACCACCCAAACCATGGAAATGTTATTTGAATTGATTAAAATTCAATTTACACTCATTTTCAGACATTTTTGACATAAAATGGTCGAAACGAACTGCGTTCACAAACATGCCCTGGCGTGATACGGTATTAAATGCCGGTTGATTAGATAAACCGCTTTGCACCCATTCTGTGTACGCCATCGGTGCCTATATGCAACATCATCGGTCCGTAATGTCCAAAATAGGCATGGCGGACTGTTTGATTGTCCATCACGAGCCGCACAGATTTTCAGCATCGGTTATGTTTGTGCCGGATCATCGCTGGTTTTCGCACTCATATCAAAATACTTCGGTTGCCATGCGGATATGAGGGCGATAATCAAAGCTGGTGATGAACTAGACGTAGAAAACTTGCACTACGAAGTACTACACTATCGATCGGTGTTATTACCATCTAAAGTACGGTTTTTAGTGCATCGGTGTAAATCACAAAGAAAGACCGTCTTTAATTACCACCCTTATAGCAATGCTGTTTACCTGCAAATTCTGCATCAGGAGCAATCTGTCAGCATACAACGATCTTCTCTACTGTCCAAAATGCAAAATTTATCTAAAAGAAAAGGACGGCCGCCTTTTTTACCACTACGTGCCATCGAAGATAGATGGCACCTTCCGCTCGCTGAGCGATCTTTTGTGTGCGAAATGCAGGACGATGAACACCACGATAACATGCACAAATTTTGATGATTTTTATAAAAAGGTACAATATTGCGATATGTGCAAGGTTAGGGGGTATATGGTGCTGCGCAACAATTTCTATAAAAACTTGCCATTGTGCCACATGGTAAGACGGAAGTACAAGCTGCTGTCATACGTAATTATAACACTTTTGATGTTGATAATGTATCAGTATGCGCTGTCCAGGAACTTAATTGTGTTCGTTGATGAAGTATACACGCATAGGTTCAGTTTTCTGAAACTCGGGACAAAACTTGCGGTTTACTGGGCCCTGCGCGATCACAGCAACATAAGATTGTTCGTTCTTATGGGCTGGGCATGGTGTAGCATGTTCTGTAAATATGAAAGCGTGTTTGTTGTGCGAATATCGAGCGGTCTGATAGATGATGGTTTTATTGATAGATTTCACCGTTTACAAATAGGTTATTGATGAAATAAACATAGATGTGATATTTTGTATAGCTTAAATTGTTTGAACACTGCTCATACAGTGCTTCTGCGGGCAGCATCTGTTCGTTTGGTAGATGCAAAAGACCGTGTAATAACAGGTTTTTGTACTGCTGTATGACATCGAAGAAATGTGGTTAACAAACTGGTATTTGGTGTTTGTGTAGGATATGTGTGCTAGCACGGAATATTCACAACATGAATGAACAGCCATAATTCAGATTTTGGCATACAGAGCTCAGCAGCACTGTCAGAATGTAGAAATAGCTAGTGTTCTTAGTTTTTTACTAAAAGCATGTTTTTTAACGCCTAGGCTTTTTAATCAATTCAAATTCATTGGAGAGAGACGTACCGAATGGGAGAACAAATACCAGGGTAAATGAAAATTGCACTGTGAATGTAAGACACTAGGTTGTATGCTAACGCAGATTGCTTGTGTTTTTGAATGAATGTTAAAGATAATTTAGCCATTATGCTCTTGATTGAACTCTTTTTAGATCCACAGCTATTCATATCACAAGTATGTTTCTTGCGTGCCGGTATATCCTGTGGAAAGCTTTGGTATTCGTATTTTAGTTGGGCGAGCGTGCACCATAGAGAATAAAAGATTTTGGCAATGTTTGTAGTGCGCAAAAAATTAAAAACGTTGAGGCCCATAAAATGACGAAGGAGAAAAAAGAGCTGCTCCTCGAAATATCGAACAAGTTGGACATCACGTTCAGTGAACAAATGATTGACATTGCACTGGACATGCTGGAGGGTGGTATGAGTGTAGAGAACATGATAGTGATTTTAGAAGAGATGAGAGTTGATGTGGATGGATGATTGGTACTGTGCTATCATAGGTAAAGTTCATTTGTACATAATAGAACAGTGATCCAGGCCTTATTGGTGCTGGTATGGTGAGTTTATTGCTGAAAGGTATATTCTAGCCAAAAATACCTGAAAGACAAGTATGTGAGATAAATAATATCTGTGCCATGTCTTGGCGGTGTATTATCTTTAATTATTTTTGAGATTGTAACAGAACGGGCTGCAATTGATACATAGAATTGTAAACGTAGGGTGATCAAGCAGAATATGCTGACATATTCTGGGCCAGGGTTTACGTTTTGCCAGAAAGGACAAAAAACATTTGCCTCGTACCGCTGTCTTCGCTTCGGATGCTGCGCTGTAGCAACTGGTTGTGGTATTATGAACTCAGCAAAAAACATGCGATTAAAGGCCAATGTGTTGATTAAAAGTCTTTTGGCGCGCTCGTTCCTGTCTGTGCGTCATAAATGTAAATGAGGTTTATTGGTAAAAGTTAAATGATCGTACGGCACCTCAGCGTTAGTATGGTGTGATAAGATTAATTTCGTGCTGAGAACAAATCAAACTGAGGAATGGTAACGGTTATTTGGAAGTTTCTAAGCCTCAAATTCAACTAGGGCTAAGTCTGAGAGGGATCATGGTCAAGGCAGCTGTTGATGGATACGCTACGTAAGCCTGTGTTTGTTTTTTTTCTCCGATAGATCACAATAATTGTGCCAAAGGAATCAGCTCGTTGATGAGTTGCTCGTGTAGGTTTTTAATCCTGCAGCTATTCTGAAACATTTAAGCTGTGATAAACGCTTTGTAGGTAGAGGTGATCTGTACATAAGCAAGAATTGCACCAAACTGTGTTCGTGTAATATTAGTTCAGATTTTCGCCAAGGGTAAACGCATACCAACAAACAACTGTTAAACAATTAATTGGTGGTAAAAAAGAAAGAAACATGTGAATGGCCATAGCAACGTGGATATGAGGTGAGAGTGCGTACACGAATGGCAGCTCGAAATAGTAAAATGAGTAGAATATGAAAATTAATGAGAAGAAAAGTTAGTAGAACAATTAGTAATCTATCCCGGGATATAAAAGTTATTAAGTTCATTTAATTAATTAAAAATAATCTTTTGTACAATCTTTATACTCTTTACTGTAATAAGTAAATTTATTGATCATCAAATATTTTAATGCGCGCCCAAAACTAAAATTACTTCCAAAACGTTTAATTCGCACTGATAAGTTAAACTTAGTCCGTACGGATTGGCCATTTTTACATCAAATAATTAGTCGTTCATCACAAGCACGAACTAAAATTTAGGCTGAACTGTCAGCACACACGCTTACCAACCTGAAAGGAGTTGCGAAAGACGGTATCTTCATTGTGTTGGATGTTGCTGTATAAAAACGTAATTAAGCATGTTTTCAACGAGAAAGGGTACTACCGCCATGCTACTAGAAGAACATTTCAGCTCATTGTTGCTGTTTGTTGAGTTTCATTTAACAAACATGTTTTTGAAAATAATGGGATTTAAACGTGAAACGATGAATACACCAGTGAGTGTACAGTGTTGCTAACAATCAGCTATAAACAATCACTCCGCGATCATTTTTGCACTAAATAATATTCATTCAACCATTTATGGTAGTACCAAAATAGTGCCGGTGTTGATCTGAAGTAACAACATCGTATCATTTTGGAATGATCACATGGAATAGCCAACAACATACAAATTTATTTTATGAGGTAATCATGGAAAAACGCGTGCATGTTCGATTAACGGGCACCAAAAAATTGTATCTTGCTGCAACCATTCGGCCAACACTGCCTGTTAAGGCAAATTACAAACTCATTTTACCATCGTTTTCTTCGATGCCTCGTCTACCACAGTGAATTTGTATATAAATCCCCAGAAAATTATCATGACCACGAATAGCACCGTTACAAACATAAGCCTTTCTTTGAATCTTAGATGAAAAACAAGAAATTCTACCATGGGTTGTAATTGATCTTTCGTTAAATAAATACGTAGAAAGAGTTCGCAGCACTTTATTGCATGTGATACAACCATGTTAGCGTATCACACCGATCGTATGATGAGCTGTACGCGGTCAGGTAAGTGTCGTGGTTTGTTAGCCCTATGCTTGCTCGATATATGAGTTGTATTTATGAGTTGATTGAGTGGTGGAAGAAGCAATGAAGTGTAGTAAATTTATCGTAATTTAATAATTTGGTCTGCTATTTTACGTAGTAATTAACAAACAAAATAATACAAAATCTTTAGAATGGTAATACAAGCTCATATTATCGACTATACATCCCACTTCAACTTGAACATTGGTGTAACGCCGTCCGTAATATGCTCTTCACGGAAATGACCGCTATCAACAGTAAAGGCGCATATTATGTGCCTAAAATTGAGCTTCTACATACATCACAGTTCTTGAGAATAGTTCTACAGCGAACTATCCAGGGATTTAACATTAGGTAGAACATTCGGAATCGTGCTTCTGAGTTGATTTGCAATGCACTTGAACACAATGAGTTACATCTACTTAACAATTACTCGTAATCTTAATTGCCGGTCATAGACATTTATGTGCGCATATAGTACATTAATCGTTGTAATTTATCGCACTGCGTACAGAGAACATCATTTGTTCACAATTTGTGCATATTGTGATGAAAAACAGGTAACATGAATATTTTGATCAATAAAATGATGTTATACATCGTTTCGTTATCCAAAACCTAAAATATAGGCAACAAAAACAATAGTTTTGATCCATTTCTTTGAAGATGTCAATAAAATATCACAAATTACTATTTATTGGTCTTTCTGTCCGGAATTTGATTCATAAATTGTGAAAATATGAATTCTTAGTCGTAACATACATTTAATAGATTTACTTGCATGTGGTTTTTGCTGTTGTTCACAAGCGGAATGTTAAGGAAAAATTAACAATCACTTACAGCAGCCACTATCCACCACAACCATATTTTAATTTCGCATTTTTAGTGCACAACAATGAGTGTAGTAATTGCTTGTTGCGGTTTCCTTTAAAAATGTCGTTGTTGAGAATTATTGAATTGTTTTCAGATGCAATCTGGAATCATCGTCATCAGAGAAGCGGTGAGCACAGAATAAATTGTTGACATTGAACTACAAATTGGTAGTCATTTTTGGTTCCAGCGTGAAAGAAAAGTGTGTACGTGTGCGAATAAACATGATTTCAGTAGAGAAAGCAACGACTAATACATAATTGATACAGAAGATGTATTCGTACCCATAATGTGGCTTTAATTGCAAGATAGAACTCGTTAGCTTTTATTGAAATATACAAAACAGATCTTTTCGTAGTCTCTAACTTTAAAACAGAGGAATATGCATAATCCCGTTTATTAGGCTGTATCATAGCCAAACAACGGTAGTATCTGACTTTTATTGATCTCAGACAAAACAAATACGTTTAAATTTTCAAACTTTGCGGCGTACTCATGTCAAATTCACAAGTTGTGGCATGTCATGTGATCAATTATTACAAAAATAGAAATTTTTGTTAATTATGGATTAAAATTTACATTACGCGTTAAGACAGCGTAAATGATGAAAATCGAACATATTCTCCCCTAACATGCGCTTAAATAAATAAAACATGGTTCTTTGTGCTGTTCATTTAGTGGTTTAATCAAAACCTGCAAATATTGATTGAACTATATCATGCTTTGCTAATATCATTGCAGAATGCAGGATTAAAGTGATTTCGCACTGTTAAGTATATTTTTCATTTTCGTAGTAGATAGGACAGAAATCGGGCCTTTTCTGCTGAAGGTAAATTTAGTGATTTACACAGCAAAAATACCTAAACAACACGCTTTTTTGGTTCGCAGGACCGACAACGACAACTAATCTTCGATTCATGACAAATATCAGTGCACCGACCCACACTGCAATTTAGCGTACATCCGAGCACAATATAAAGGTGTTCAGCAACTGCAGAAGTGTCCTTAACACACAAGCTGTGACTTATGCGACACATCTCGTCTGGGATTACGCTGGTGAATTCTTAGCCTCGGAGGTTTTCAAATGGACATAATTTACGGCAATTTAACATTTAGCAAAGGAAGCATGTTCAGAATTCGCACATCTTCAGCACTTCCAGACGAAATGTCATGCGCTTTGCCACCTATATTTTCCACAAAATGGACATTTTTTCTGTATATTGAGGTGACTACGCCATACCCAACCAAGCGGTAGGCATGCATTAATGTGTCACCCTACCCGAGCTTTGTCAAACAAAACAATTTAGCTTTGCAAAAATACCGAAAATAAAGGCCTGTTTACCACTCTTACAGGGTTGCATACGATATTTGCTTAGACGGAAAAAATAATTTCTAATAACCAAGAAAGCATTAACAATGATGTAAGGAGAGTATTGATTATCAGATAAGCATATTTTGTATGAAATGGAGTACTTACTAATATTTAAACATCTTTCTTGGTGTGGTGTGTATTATTTATTTACTAAAACAGTATTTTTCGTGGATGTATTCGTATGAAAGAAATTGTTGAATTATATCATGAGAAGTTTACTATAACGGTACAAATAACAGTGCAGAGGACATCGTACTGCACACAAACAATGCGAGCATACCATTGTGAAATACTGCTATATGTTGTACTAGTGCCATTAAAGACAAATTACGCACACATACACCATTTTTTGGCTTAACAGGACTCAAAAAATTGGAAAGATTGTGAGGCGATTCCACACTGCAAAGAAGACAATACCGGATCAAAAAATGACAATTTGGTACCGTAATCAAGCACTTTATAGGTACATCCGATACAAAACATTAAGCGCTGATTCGTAACATGCTAAGAAAGAACTTTAATGACTTAACTTCCAGAGCCGCTGTTATTCGCACCTAACACCTCTTTTAAAAGGAAGTGGAGAACTGCTTGAGTGGGCACCTTACCCTTGTGCTCCACAAACTTATGCGTCTTATGTTCTGCCTTCTTGTTATCCTTGAACTTGCCCTTAGTGCTATCCTCAACAAAATATAAGGAACTTTCAACCGACTTGGTATCGATCGATAGCATTGCGACTGGGCAATTCTTATCGTCAACTTTCTTAATCTTAGCCTTAAGATCCTTTACCAATTTTTCGTATTTGTATGCGTTGAGTGTTGTGAACATGCTACCAACACCGGCCATAAATGGCGCATCCTTCGACTTATCGGGTACTTTGTCGACATCAAATGCTAGACCAATATCTTTATTGTCCACGTTGAGCTCGTTTTCAGCATTCTTAACACTGTCCAGGAATTCGCTAGGTTTTTTCATATCTGAATCCTTCAAGTTCTTGAACGCATCAGTTTCTTCAACACCCTTTACAGTCATGTGGCCGCCGTTCGCATCGTCTTTGTAGAACATCAATATCTTTACCTTGTTCATCAGCTCTTTCTTGGCATCATCACCCTGTATGGCTTGGTAGTTTTTATCCACCTCCTCCATAAATTTCTTTTCATATTTTTTGGCCTGGAAATATCCGAACACAAAGATAGAGATCACGACGACTGCTACCACGCCAACGATCAAGAGAATTAAGTAGAGTAGGTTTTTCATTTTCCACAGGGTTAAATTTTTCAATTTATTAAATATTTTTAAAAAAAATCGTATGAGCAGTTTACCGTGGTAAACACACAAATTTAATAATATGTGGTGAGATAGGACCTTTACCGACAAAATAGATCACTATTGAAAGCGAACACAATTGCTTTGTTTCTTTTGGTGCGTACCAAAATAGTAAATATTGTTTTTATGGATAATTGATGGAAACACATTCTTGCTCGACGAGGGAACTTGCAGGAGCGACTGCGCTGAGAAAAAATTGTGCACTTTTTTTCCCTCCTTTTATGTTCGATTAAGCTGATATTAATTTAATTTAGTGATATATTGCGGAATATACCGTAGCAACTCAGTGAGTTGATGTTTGGACCTGTTTGGTTTTCATTAGGTCAAAAAATTTTAAGTGTGCTGGCCAAGACGAGCAGGAAAATATTGAATTTGCAATTTAACAAGAATTGCATGGTACTTAGCTATATACAAGGTGTCATAGCATCTGATAAAAGCTTTACATAGAATAGGAGGACACAATTTGCATTTTTTATCGCGTTACCATTATGGTTAGTATTTTTGATTGGTTCCCTCTCTTTAGATAAAAGTGTCATTCTTATCCATATCTGTAGTGTGAATGGCACGAAGAACCACCTGAATAAAAACCACATTGAACCACAATGTAAGGAATAAAACACTGAATTACACGACAGATGAACAAATTTGAAAAAAATATTAAATCATAAACAAGTGTCAAACTCTTTAATTTCTTTTTTACACTTTCTAATTCTCTATATACATTGCCAGGTTTATTGATTCGATATTCAATTTACCTGCCATCCTATAATTAACTGATTGCATCGTAATAATTTATCGAATTAATTAATTAATTATACAGGGAAAATTTAATTGGCAAGTGATGTGATTGCTGTTGTAGTAGAGAAGTACGCTGTTTACATAACATTTGAGTCTACACATACACAATTCAAAGGCATTGACCAGCTGCAATGATCGTCTACAGAGCAAACACCGTTGAACCTTTCAATATTTGTGTGCAAAGATCTGAACACACCAATTTTATTCGCAAAATCAACTCCTTTCTACTGTTTTTATCATTAAAGAACACATTCGATCACTATTTTTCAATTTTCTGTTCTTTGATATCTTCCTTTTTGAGAAAGATTTTTTAAACATTACTGCCCGTGGTACTCCGTAAATGCCTACGTGTTCAAATTGTTGATTACTATTTAGTCGTAATATTCTATCAGGTTGTGCGATCAAGATGATAAAATAGCTGTGATATGATTAAAAATATAATATCAGCAAGGATACACCATTTCTCCATGTGGATGTTTGTATTTTAAATAAAATTACAATGTTAGATTTATTTGATATATGTTGTGTATTGCCTGAGGGCATTGCATCGGATAGTTCATCTCGGTGGTTTCAAATCATTTGAATGAGGACGTTTTGGATTTGTTGTTATTAAACGTGTTAAGTGGATTAATAATTTGAGATGCATCTTCTCCTAAGTTAGAATAAAAATTTCATGATTTGGTCGAACAATTGGCAGAAAAAAAATTTTCCATTTGAAATGGTATTTCCAAAACGGAAAATTCAATATAAATAAAACAACATTTGAAGGCTGATTGGTTTATTCAGTAACAAATTAGTTAACTCTTCGTTTAGTAATAATTTTGTTTCGCATTTTGACGTAAACTAAAAAAATAAATCATTTTGTTAAACTTATTTTTCAAGACATGCCTAACTCTTCCCATAAACACAGTGCTAAAATACACAATTTGCCAACTAAAATCAATTTTTATTCTTACTAAATACTTCACTACCGGTCAAGTAGCTGTGTGCGTGGTACAGTGATAATTCGAGGGAAACATAAAATGTGTTGAATATAAAACCAAGTTTTTGTTTTAGAAACGGCAATATAGACAGTATTATGTTGGTCGAGATTTACTGACAAAAATTTTTTCGTGGAATTGATCTACTATAGCCAAAAATCTATTTTTCGATAAAATATCAGTAAACAATATTAACAAGTTATAAACAGATTTTAGTGCGTTAAAATACCTTAAGAAGAAGGATAGTGCCATAATTTACTGATAAATGCTGTATTGATCGCTGCTATGACTCAGAAACGGTACCTATCATTTTGTTACGTACAGTTTACTGGGTGTGGTTGTTTTGCTTCTAATTTGTATGCCACCAAAACCATGAGACATGCCAAAACATATTACATCTTATAGTGTGCACCTGTGCGGAAATATGTTGTAATAAACTCGATTGATTTCCAGCATTGCTGATCATAAAGAAGGTGGCTACCAATTTCGTTCAGAGAACACGGTTTTATACATCATTCTGTGACAAAAACTTTCGCGAACATATGCTTGGTACGGGCATATGTGGTTATTTGTTGAAAAACGGTACATTAAAGCGAATATGATGGAGGGTTAATCCGTGTAGGCTTGCTGCCCGAATAAATATCTACAAATGCACTAATTTGCTTTACAAAAGTGTATGTAATGCTCATATAACATATAATAAATAATTTAATTAATTATAATCGGTAAATATTTTCTTTTAATCCATTAATAATTGACCGAATTCAGACTTTTTATATGACTTTCAAACTATTAATTGCTTGTAAGTTTTTTATTACAAACTAGAACAGGTGTATTAGACGTTTCTAAACAGCGCCACTATAACACTGCATTTGATCATATTTGGTACTGCTCCGGTTATGTCATTGGCTATATCATGGGTAATAATCAAGTTTTTGCTCATAATTTTCTCACAAAATGGTTTAAATAGTCATAAGGTGGTGGTAACGTATAACTGTCAAGTTGAACTTGTCCACTTATAAACATCCACTATCATCTGTAAGCATGCTGTTTATTTTCTTCATTTATGGAAAAAGGTTTATCCCCAACTGATGCAATACCCACTCACGAAATGTTTGCTAATTTTTGCCGTTATTTTCCTCATTCCGATCACATTTATAAGTATTCTGAAGATTACAGAGGCTGACAATCAAATACTGGAGCAGAAAGTAGATTCGTATGCATCCGCCCGTTTAGCAGAGCGTAATGATTTGATGAATGGAGAAACACGTGCAATAATCATTACTAAGCTTTTTAGTTCCTCAGATACAATCGAAGCATTTACTATCGACACTGAGACCTTTAAGTCTCTGCAAACGAGCTACATGCTTTTTAAGGGCGACCAGCTTCTTCAATACTGCCGAAATATACTGACCAGAAGGTGCCAGATTACCAATGACTTTGACATCAAATACGTTGAGAAACTACGACAAGATTTACGATATCCGAGATTAATTACAATAGCAAGGTTTTATTTGCGAGACGAGTTTGTTCAAAAATTTTGGGAGTTAGTCTATGACTTGAAGAATAAATGTGCCAAGCTGCCAAAGAACGAAGGTCTGGTCTACATGTTTTTTGATCAAGAAGTAATCCGCACGAGCTATATATATTTTGCGCACAGCAAAGGCAAGAAGAACCATTTATACCGGGTTCATCGTCTTTGGAAAGAACACTCGATTCCCTTCGCTAAAGAGTGTGCTCTTTACATGTTTTCGCACTATCTGCAATGATGATACAGGTCGACAACACAGATATTCTGAGACCGAAAAGAATATGGTCATTAAAAATAAAGCGTTTTGCTAACAACTCATACACCCACCAGAATACTTTCAAGCAATGGTTATCTTCCATTACACTTTATGTAGCGAAATGTTGCGCAACAATTTTTTAATTTGGAAGTATAGCGCAGCTGATGCCCTTAAAACCATAACGCATCCCAACTCATACATTTGGGAATACCACAGTTTTGATTATAGAACTACGGCTATTATTTAAAATAAAAGAGAATATCTATGAACATACGCTTGGCATTGCACTTTTGTGATAGAAATAGTTTCTTAGTTCAATCACCCGTGCTTAATTTACGTGTTATATAAATATTACAGGTCGTACTTCTTGATAAATGATTATTAAGCGCATTCTGGTCTAGAAAACCATCACAAGCGGTACCGAACACAAAACATGTGGTGTTTCTGATGCATTGCAATGCGGAAGCGCCGTTGTAACATAACAGAAACGAAACCATCCTTAAACTTGATCACAGCCTTATCAACAAATGCTTGCACGTGTACAACACCCAAAAACATGAAAATATCAACAGGTTTAATCCTGTCGATTAAACGTAAGCGATACCTCCGCACCTTATTCACAAAAAACCAAGCATTCTGTGACCACTCTCAGATTTGATTGACAAACCTGTACCGCTAATTGAAATTAGTAAAAAATCTGTCATAGCTTCGTATGGAATTGCACGGTGTAATGATGATCGGTTCGTCAATGAATTCATCATCAAAATTATCTTTTAAATTAGATTGCGGTATGAACTCAGGCTTTATCTTCTTTTCCATCACATCATTCCAGTTAACATCTTTGAAGTAGAAGTGACTGCGTATTTCCTTCCCATCAATTGATCCGTGACCTATCCGTTTATTTGGCTCCTTCTGCAATAGGCTCAGTATCAGATCCCGTGCGTTGCTCGGAGTATTTTCTGTAAACTTTACCGTGCCATGGAGGATTTCTGCCGATATTTCCTCTGTTGTTGATCCGTTAAAGGGGCATTCGTTCTCGTACATTTCATAGATTACCACACCGAACGACCACCAGTCGGCATCCTTGGTGTATCCGCCCTCCAGTATTACTTCCGGTGCTATCGTATCCGCGGTTCCACAGAAGGTGAATGTCATGGTTTCTGGTCCAATTTGATCCTTGCACAGTCCAAAATCCGCTATTTTAACATGCCCGTCCGCACATATCAGCACATTGTCCAGCTTCATGTCTCTGTATATGATGTTCTTCGTGTGCAGATACTCAAGACCCAGCAATATTTCGCACACGTACAGTTCTATCTGTGCGTGCGTAAATCTGTGGGTGGCCGCGTAGTGAAAAAGATCGCCACCAGCGAGGAACTCTGTGCCAAAGTAGACGTTCTGGTCATCCTGGAAGCAATACAGCATCTGCATCAGAAAGGGATGTTCAGCTTTCGAGACCAGCTGGAGAATGTGCCTCTCTAGCTCAAGATAATGTATATTATTGCAATTGACAATAACCTCTTTCTTCAAGATTTTCATGGCTATCATTGTTTTGCCTTTCTTCACAAGCATCACCTTTCCAAATGCGCCTCTGCCAAGCACCTTCACAAGCGAAAAATCGCTGATGTAATGCCGCGTCCCGGCCTTCTCAGAAACATGTACGGGTGGATTGAAGTCTGCCATTGTGATACGTAGGTCCAGAGCAATGCCGCACGACTTGGGCAAGAAACTTGCACATGTCTCGTGAAACCGCTTATTACACCTTTTACAGACCTTACACGGCTCTCCTAATCTTATGCGTGTGCCGCATTGGCCACAATACCTGAATCCGCTTGCATTTTCATCTTCCAGAATATGTGGTATGTTATACCGCTTGACAAGCTTGGCCTGCTCTACTTCAGGCGCGAACACACAGTAGAACAAAATGTAATTCGAGCACTTCTTGTGGCAGGTAATTCGGCACTTATAGCAGCGGTACGCATCCATGAAAGTTGCTATATTGTCACATACAGCACAGTAAAACGGCGTAATTGTCTTGTAGTTCTCAAGAGCATGCCCGTCCCTGTACACACAGATTATCTCTGCATTTTTACGTATGAGCTTGATGTCTCGCTGAAATTGTATCTCACATTCAAGATCGGCGCTTTGCATAAATTCGAACGTGACCTTCTTTTTAGTCTTGTAGTTCATGAGATATTCGCACGAGAAGAACATCATACCCAGCAAGACTTCGTTCCTTCCCCTCAATATTATTTCAAAGTCCCTGTTATTCTGCATCCCTATCGTAATTTCTTTTCTCGATTGTTCTTTTACTTCAAACACATCCACAGAAATTTTTATCTCTGAGTCAACATAAAAATCGATCCAGCAGCATTCAAAAAGAGGATCCGACACAAAGTTAACGATGTTAAATTTGACGGTACCATTCGTTTTTCTTCCGATGCCTTTCTCAACGATGTCATCTCCAGTGCTGCCAAGCTTCTTCATTTCGCTGTTGAGCAAAGCAATCTTTTTTTCGCAAAACTGCTTTTTCTTCATCAGCGTGTCTTTCATGCTATCGTCTACTGCCATTATTTTGTTATATCCATCGATCAGGTTATTCTCTTTCTTCAGTTTTTGCGAAAATTCGTAGGTCGTAACAACCTGCTCCAGTTTGATGTTTTCTTGGCTACTTATTTTGGATATCTTACTCTTCAGCATGTTTATTCTATATTGAGCACTTTCTCGCTGCACACCAGAAAGCTTGGGCAGCAAGGCCTCCAAGCTCTCCAGCATTTTCTCATCCACAGATTTTTCAGGCATTTGAGAACGCTTCCTCCATCCTTTTAAACTGTGCTGTGACAGCATATGTTACAAAATTAATTGGTGGCATGTCAACCAATGAGTAGGAAAGTAAAAACAGATCGTACTCCCTACTAAAGTACCTTGCGGACGATAACGCATGGTTAGGAGAGAGTTTTCCGCTTTGTGGAGGAGAAGCGAACCAAAATAACGATCAATAACAGATTAAACCATGATCTACAAAGAAAATGAATTCGGGACAATGATAAATCGCAAATTAGTATAAAAACTAAAATTGTTGATGAACATGGCCATATCTTGCCTGAACGTTCTCTTCAAAAGCTTTCACCACCAAATATGCGAAAAGAAATAAATACTCATGTTTGATAAGACATCATCACAACCGGTAGGTATTACTGACACGCCGATGCACATTCTACGATTACCTACAATGATCAGACGTTCACAAGTATGAACGTGTAATATTTTAATATTTCAAGTGATAAAATACCCTATAACTACTGTAAATCAAATCAAACACGCAGAGCTCACGTAAACTACGGTCTATCAGTTATCTGCTCACAAGGAATTTGTTAGAGCAACGCGCACAAATGGAGACGATATCACACACCTCATAGGATATGAAACAAAAAGTAAATTTAATTAAAAAATAGATCCGTTCAAGAGAGTAGTCTGAATTCTGTTACGGCAGGACCAACTGCCGCCTTTCGTATTGGACTGCCAACGTAACACACCGATACCTTCCAAGCAGCCTTGCGGATGCGAACGTTTCTGTTAGACCGGTCAAAGGCGTTAGCCCTTTGCCATCTCAGCTTGTGTGTTCTCAGACCTTCCTAAGGACAGTGCCCCTAAACGAAAGCTTCTTGAACGGACGAAGGGTCAACCTCAAATTTTTTTAATAATGTAAACGATCGAAGCTGAAGAAAAGCAGTTTAAAAGTAAAATGCCAGCAGATCCGCGTGATCGTCTCGTTCTTAATGTTTTTTAGTGTCAAACATCCCTTTATACTGAACTGAAGTAATGTTGCAAGGTGGGACATATCAGGTTGGTGGGAATTTACTGTCGAAATTATATGATGGTTCATTTTAGTGGCTGTATGTCGATTAACACTGTACTAATAGTATATATCAAATTCTTGCTGCACATATTATGTTTTTGGGAATAGCACGCCGTACAAAACACTGTTCTTGAACGTCAAACCATTTCGTACTATAATGCAAAATAAATATTAAATTGATTGCTTTACACCAATCTGTTCATATACAGGCCAGAACCATCGGTATTTGAGGTGAAATCACAAAAAATGAAGAGCAAGCTGCAATATTTTGATAAAAACTGTAACTCTTGAAGAGAATTAACAAAGAAAGCGATGAAAATGAAAGTAAATGAAGAAAAACTCCAAGATTTCTTAAACATGCTGATGCACTTAGATCGACTGAACGTACAAGAATACAACAACAGGAATGATTACCAACCGAGACGATGATGCATCGCCACTATAGGAAATTTTAGTGAGCAGAGCAATCGCTACACTATTCCTTGACAAAGAAGATCAGTTAAAGCAATTGACATCATAAGTAACCATCTGATCCAAGGAGCAAGCTCTTTAAGATGCCTTAATTGAACATGTTCATTGAATTTAGATTTGTTTAACTGTTTTCTTAGTTGAAGATTTATCTGCATTTTAATACGATATCAGTAGAAAATAAAAGATAATTTGATTTTTTGACTTATTATTGTGCCTCATTTTAAGCAAAATATTCATATTTAGTCATCAAATTATACATTTAATAACTAAACACATATATTAAGCTATTACATTAACTCATCTGATTTTATTGAAAATCATGCTGTCTATTCACTCTAAAACCTTTTGTACGGTCCTACCAACCTAATCCTGTTCACATGCTACGTCCTTAATTATTCACTGTCACTGCTCAATTTCGCCTGTTTTACTCCGATTTTCAGCCCAGCCCCCATGCCTGACTACGTGCTCACCCCCCCGGAGAAAAAACATGCTCTGATAAAACTGAACGAGTACCCAAGAACAAATCCTAACAAGTCATTTGATCCATCGGTCGAGCAGACAACTCCACAGACACTGTTCACTCCGCTTCTGCGCGTGTGCAACGTAGAGCTGACGAAGCGGATCATAACGAGCACTGTAACGGAGGTGGAAACATCCGGGAAAGCGGAGGCCGTCCCGTGGCTGCGCAAATTTGCGTTTGACATGGGGAACAGAGTCGCCAAGGACGAGAACATAAGAATGAGGGAACTGGACAAGATCAGGAAGCCGATCGACTACAATCAGTTCTATCTCGAGTCGTTCGTGAGTGTTGACGAGGGACTGGAGGGATGCACGAGCTACGATTTCGTGCCGGGCGACGAGAAATACATGATCTTTGATTTTGATGAAAGAAATTTTGCGGTGAAGGAGATGAAAGACTTTGTGCTGGAGTATCCGTCACGGGTCGTTATTGATAGGAATGGGGAGGAGGCTGAGTATGGATGCAATGCCAATGATATGAGTAACTACGTGCTGGTTGAGGTGAAGGATGACAGGGCATACTACTATTTACTGAAGAACAGTCTCAAGCTGAAGCGCCTGAAGACACATCACAATTCGAGCGAACAGAGCTAAACAGTGAGCCGGTGAGTGTGTGACCTGGAGGCATGCGGCTTGTATTTGTGCCGTTGCACACCCGTTTTAATGATCATGAGACAGCCTGTAGCGTATATCTGTGAATTAAAGTATGTTGCACGCTCATTTTATGTTTTGCGAATTGCTGCTGTGTTATGAGCTGAGATGCTCTGCTGTTTGGAGTGAAGAATCGTGTGAATGCCTTGGAACTACCAATTTGAGGTATGGGCAGGCACAGACCGATCTGAGAAATGAGGAATTTCCTCAACTAAAATTTAGTTTTTATGATGTGATCATAGAGGATGCAAACTGCCAGGAGATGAGTGGTTTGTACGATTTACGAGTCGATTTGCTCGATGCATCTTAATGAATCTGATCCTGGATAGTCGGGTGTACAGACCAGCATGCACTATCTCTAGAGCCTAGTATTTGAATTCTTCTGTGTATGAAGAAGGCGTGATCAATGTATGCTTGTCGGCCAAGTGCAAACGGTTTACAATGCGTAGAAATTTACGGCAATGACAAGCTGTCTACTATGTGGCCAGGTGAGTATTGTGTAGATTATAATTAATGTGGTTGTTACGGTGAATTTGGCGGAAATTATATGCTTTCTGGTATTGTATAGGACAAAAGCGAACAACTTAAAGCGAGAACATTAACTCGTTGCGGCTAGTGTTAAGCGCTGACGTGGATTAATGGTGCTGTGCTCGAATCTGTTGTGAGTGAGTCCTGAAAAGGAGTCAGCAAATGATAATAGCATCGGTACTCTCTCGGAAGAACCATTGCGACTTGCTTTACAAACCCGGCAGATTGTATGAAATAGATCATTGAAACCAATAGCCGTGTTAGGTCCCAAGGAGCATATTTGATCCAATAAATGTATGCGAGGTAATGTTAAATAATGCTGTTGTAAAACAATAAGGAAGTATAACGATTCCTATCAGCTTACACACAACGATTTTATCGACTAAGATTTCACATAACAGCAGGAAAACGCTACTCTTTTGTGGCAGTCCAAATAGATGTAATAGTATCATACCATGGCCTCACATCCCTCAAATGACAAGCATCTCTTCGTTTTATTTACAAATTTCATAGCATTTCTCAAGTTTTTGCGTATATAAACGATAAATAAGTAAAGGTCAGCGATGTTACATGATAGAATGCTCGGCTATAAGAGAATACGTAACATCACCATGAGCGGTGTCCATAACTAACACGAAATTCTAAATCCAGTTGATATCGTATTTTACAACGGATGGTACCTAAGGAAATCATAAAGAAGATAAATTGTGAAAAGAACGGTGTCTACAGATCATGCTGATGAGATTTGTCCAAAAAAATAAAATATAGCAAAGTTACGTACAGAGATAGCAAAAAACGAATTGCAAATTTTCTGTACTTTGTTCCCACGTGGTACATTAAAATTTATCTAATATTCTGTCATTAAAAATTATAAAAGAGTAACAGCAACGTAATGATTGATCGGGTCGAAATGACGCTCTTAATAATTATAAGTAATGTGATTGGTCACTAAATCATGCACAACAATACTACGATACCAGTCTATAATATTGAGTAGTTGAGCAAAAACATATTTTATATCTATCTGTACTCATCTACTCTACTTTTCTCATGTTTTTTTGTCTTTTCTTGTCTTTCTCAAACAATTCGTTCTTTGGAACGAAAAGAAATAGCATTTAGACCGTGTTCTCCGCCATTTCACATGAAAATATATTTGATACAAAAAATCTCCAGCTCTTGGCGAATTCTTACAATCTGTTTCAACGCAATCTAAGTTTCACGTAGATCATATAAAAGTAAAAAGTAGCAAAGCACAAAGCAAATGGTCAAAACGGCTAAGAGTGGTTCAAACAAAAACAGTGTAAGTAGCGTAGCCAATAAGACAAAAGCACGGGGCAGTTCCAAGCCCGGCACAAAAGACCCTCCAAAAAGTAAGAAAGATACCCGAACCGATTCATCGTTCGAGAAGCCCGCTGTCAACGAGCTGAGGGATCTTTATGAAAATGGAAAGCCATTTGATAAGAACTGGTCTGAGCATAGGGAGGAGACGGAATATGTGCTTAAACCGGATATCAATGAGCTGATACGGTTTTGGGAGAATATTAATGAGAAGGAAGCAACCAAATGAAACCGCGCTGCATATTAAATAAACTAAGTTTTGAGCATTTATTGAAAACATGATTTGGAATGGACCAGAATGTGACAAAGAATTAACAGCGTTTATTTTTTGTTTGTTTACGGTTAGGCGAGAACCCATTCTCATGATGTCATCCTACGCTTCACCATGGCTATAAATAGCATCTATCACAGCTATGTGCATCGTTGTAATCGTGTGAAATTGGCACCAACATGTACTGTAACGTTGCACTGCACCGTCCACATCCTCTTGTATATTATATAATTATTTTCGTGCCATACCTCGGATTTGTTTTAATTGTGCTATAAATACGGACAGGCCTCCACTAAGGACTTGTCATCTGTTTTTATTGCGTTTAAATATCTTATGAATTTATCAAATGGAACATTTGTACTGCTATCGACACCCGTAACGCATACAAACTGGTTGAACAACACTCTGACGTATTTATCATCTCCGTTCTCCCACACCTCGATGAAGACAGCGCTCGCTAGTGGTGGCCGCTCAATGACCCGCGTTCCCAGCCCGGCCAAAACATATGAGAGCGAATTGTCGTGTAGCGACAACACACTGAGCTTTCTGTTATCTTCGAGCAGCAACCTAAGATCAACTGCAAACTTACCAAATAAAAATTTTAAAACTTTTATATGATTGAGCAATAGTATGGATTGATACGTCCACGTTTTAAAGTTAGCTGTTACCATGTCAGAGACTTCGTCCATATCGCAAATCAGCTTGTTACAGTCGAGCTGTGTACCAGCACACATGGAACACAAATAGTTATCTGTAACGTTCTGCAGATCGGCCTGGTTTCTAACATTGCTAAAGGCTTTTTTTGTTGTTAGAGTAAGAATATGCGTAAGCTTTGGGCACGTTTTGTAGCCCACAAGAGTGTCCTTGTTGATAGATGGTATCTTCAATGTAAATACCTTGCCAAATCCATCTCTGTTGGTTTTCTTTACGCTTTTTTTACTCGGCTTTCTTCTATATATATTCATAAAGTTCCATTTCATATTATCATCTTGATATTTCTTCTTGCTGTTCACATACTCATCCTCTTCATAATTATCTTGGTCGTTAATCTCGTCTGTTTCCCTTCTACTCGATGAACTGTCCGTATCCGGTTCGATATCCTCGCCATCATTCTCCATCCAGCTACTGAAGGTATTTGGTTCCTCGCCAGGAAAGTCCGCCCGAGTCTCCTCAAACATCCCACTAACGACGCCACTTAATGAACTGTGCGTTCTCTTAACAGCTGTTGCTCTGAAGTTTACGTCTTTCAGCTTTATTTTTCCCAGCTTTGGAACGTATTCGTTCTTGATATAACGGCCGAGCCGTCTCATCTGGTTATAACCCTTTAAAGTTAATGTTCCATCGGAACATTTGCTAATTCTGCATTGTTGCATCGAATAGGTATCTGCATTGCTGTCGTACCATGGCTCATCTCCGCCTTCCGTCCGTTCCCCATTCATTCCACCCATCTGCTGTCTCGCGTCACAACGCACACACATGCCTCCTCCCTCACCGTACATCTTAAGGGGCATTCTATCACCATGTCGGTGTAAAACAATTACCTTCTTCAGCTTGAATCCCCTTTTCTGCGGTATGTGCCTATATTGCGCCTGGCAATAGGGATGATACATTTTTAAAGAAGGAATGTGGTAAAGCGCCAGTGACAGGACGCAAATGAAGTGTAATAACATATTTCTGGTTGAGTTCGCTGTTTTCTTTTTGGATTTACTTGAAACTTTGGTAATGGATGTGATTTGTTGATAAACGGGGCAAGAACGAATTAATACGATGAATCTTATGGGAATGAATAGGATGAAAAATATTGATTGGTGAAATTTGTGTTATAACAACACATAGTTGCCATTTGTAAGAGATAATTAACTCATCAGTGCATAGTTTATAATAGGTTCGGCCTGCTGCTCGTTATTCATCAAATTTTTTTACCAAAAGTACGTTTATCTCCTCACACATCAACAACATTCAAACCAATACGTTGTTCTGATCTGCTAAGACGGAACGTGGCCATTATTCTTTGATAAATGATCAGCTGTGTGATCGTTTGCGGTGACCGACATTTCTCCTGATGCATACCGGCAGTAACTCAATCCTGCTTAAATTTTGGATATAAACCGGCAGCACATGCCTATGCATGGCCAATCATATCTGCAGAAAGCAAAGTTCTTCATTGATTGCTCTGTACGATCATCAACCCAATTAATAAAACATCAAAAATGTGCTCCAAAATGAAAACATTGGGCAAAGATGGCCCATCACAGGTGAATGGGGTCAATGAACGATGATTCGTGCAGTGCTAATCACCGTAAGACACATGTATCCGAACAGACAAACCTCCACTCAGTACTCAATTACGAATTAAACATTTCTTGAAATATATCCTGAATCACCGCAAGGCCATGTAGGGCATTGTGCACACCTGAAATGAACATTTCATCATGCTGTGCTAGAAATACCAAACGAATAAATACGAAATAACACCAACAACACATTGGTATACAAAAGCCTGTCGTTAACCCGTTTAATTAGAAAATTTCGAAGAGATCCACATCATCGTCCGCTGGCTTAGGAGCCTCTTTCGGCTTCTCTTCCTCCTCAGCCTTTTCTTCCTTAACAACTGAGCCAGCCTTACTTTCCACGCTCTGCATCATACCCATTCCTTCGGCAACCGCCTCTTGTATGCTTTTTCCACTCAGCTTAACAAGAAAATCATCTACCTCATCCTCCTGCGGCTCCGCGCCAGCTTTTCTTATAAGCTCGGATATGCTCTGCTTTGTTATTTCCAGACCAACTTCGTTGAGTATGAGCGACGCTAGGATTACCTTCATTTTCTCGAGGGTGAAAAATTTTGTCAAAATAAAAAATAAGCTGCTTTACACACGTCTGAACAGGTGAAGAGCAGCTAAAGTTGAAAACAAGCTGACAATTACTGTCTGTATGGTGAATTAATTACCAATCGAAACATTTTAGAAATATTAAGAGGTTATTTTCTGCTATTTTTGTTCACTACAGAATGTCAAAAGCCTTTACAGCGATTTCCCGCTATAATAATGCAATTTGTGCGTTATGGATTACGACTGAATGTCTATTTCACGAGAGTATAGAACGATTTGTGGTCTCAGAAGAATTTAATTGCAAACAGAATAAATCACGCTTAGTCCTGAAATATGGTGCAACTCCTTGTATTTATGTGTTAACACGTTCTTGTAGAACATTATTCTTTGTGCGCGTGGAGCCTTAAAAAAGGTATAGAACAGTAAAATACAAACGATTATCTCCATATGACTGAAGGGCAATATACGGAGTTTGTGCCATTGATAAAGTATGATTAAGCGAAATGAATATTTCATTCTCGTTGATTCTCCGATTTTCATTTTATATCTTTCTTATGTCAACTACGATAAATCATTGAAAAACGTCCGCCCTTGTTCCATGTCAACATCTTTGCCAGGTAAGGAAGAGGAGAGCAGCCATAGGAAGTACGTCAAAATTACACTTGCTGATAATGAAGGCAACCAGATAGAATACAAGGTGAAGCGCCACATACCATTCGGTAAAATAGTTGAGTTGTATGCCAGCAGCAATAACAAGAAAGCCAGTCAGCTCAGACTGAGCTGGAAAGGACGGCCAGTGCAAATTACCGACACAGCGGACTCTCTTGAAATGGAAGATGAGGAAGAAATGGAGATTGTTGCACCACAGGTGGGCGGTTGATGCACAGATTAAATATTTTTTAAATTTAGCAATTTCTTTTCTTTATATGGAGCAACATGCACCACATGGTCTATTTTGGTGTTTTTCTGATTTTTTATATTTACTTTAGCACTTTATGCAATGTAAAATAATAATATAGGATCATTTACACCATATATGTGCACGTGGATAGGAAACAGGCCAGTGTTAACTACCTATTGTCGTGTTTAGTCTGTGCGACACCGCATGTTCTGACTTAATTTGCGTAGTTGCGCCATATGCTGTGAGTTGTTCTCGGCTGTTATATCGGATGCAATTCACAACGAAATTATCGTACGGAATTTGATATTACTGCTATTACAAGATAAATAACGGGATGTACAACAAAAGTGTTGTAAGAATGGTGTGAGTTAGTTGGCTGGAAGTATTCTAGTATTTTCACACTTGCGATTTACAACTATGTGACCCGATGATAGTGCAGTTCATATCAAAATAATCATGCATCGAGCAAATCGACTCGTAAATCGTACAAACCACTCATCTCCTGGCAGTTTGCATCCTCTATGATCACATCATAAAAACTAAATTTTAGTTGAGGAAATTCCTCATTTCTCAGATCGGTCTGTGCCTGCCCATACCTCAAATTGGTAGTTCCAAGGCATTCACACGATTCTTCACTCCAAACAGCAGAGCATCTCAGCTCATAACACAGCAGCAATTCGCAAAACATAAAATGAGCGTGCAACATACTTTAATTCACAGATATACGCTACAGGCTGTCTCATGATCATTAAAACGGGTGTGCAACGGCACAAATACAAGCCGCATGCCTCCAGGTCACACACTCACCGGCTCACTGTTTAGCTCTGTTCGCTCGAATTGTGATGTGTCTTCAGGCGCTTCAGCTTGAGACTGTTCTTCAGTAAATAGTAGTATGCCCTGTCATCCTTCACCTCAACCAGCACGTAGTTACTCATATCATTGGCATTGCATCCATACTCAGCCTCCTCCCCATTCCTATCAATAACGACCCGTGACGGATACTCCAGCACAAAGTCTTTCATCTCCTTCACCGCAAAATTTCTTTCATCAAAATCAAAGATCATGTATTTCTCGTCGCCCGGCACGAAATCGTAGCTCGTGCATCCCTCCAGTCCCTCGTCAACACTCACGAACGACTCGAGATAGAACTGATTGTAGTCGATCGGCTTCCTGATCTTGTCCAGTTCCCTCATTCTTATGTTCTCGTCCTTGGCGACTCTGTTCCCCATGTCAAACGCAAATTTGCGCAGCCACGGGACGGCCTCCGCTTTCCCGGATGTTTCCACCTCCGTTACAGTGCTCGTTATGATCCGCTTCGTCAGCTCTACGTTGCACACGCGCAGAAGCGGAGTGAACAGTGTCTGTGGAGTTGTCTGCTCGACCGATGGATCAAATGACTTGTTAGGATTTGTTCTTGGGTACTCGTTCAGTTTTATCAGAGCATGTTTTTTCTCCGGGGGGGTGAGCACGTAGTCAGGCATGGGGGCTGGGCTGAAAATCGGAGTAAAACAGGCGAAATTGAGCAGTGACAGTGAATAATTAAGGACGTAGCATGTGAACAGGATTAGGTTGGTAGGACCGTACAAAAGGTTTTAGAGTGAATAGACAGCATGATTTTCAATAAAATCAGATGAGTTAATGTAATAGCTTAATATACGTTTCTAATGGTCTGATATTTCTCTGACTACTTTTTTATGTTACCGTGAATTATTTGAACTTTCGTGTGTTCCTTAATGGTAGTTTGAGGGCCAACTTTGGAGCAAAGTTACGTCTTTTTGTACCATCGAAAGATACGAACTACGATTAAATAATTTACTTCTAACAAAAATTCAAATACACATGAAACGATGAAAGTCTAAATTACAACATTATCGTAGCAATAATACCAAGTACAAAACCATGTGGCGCTCTCACGATTTACATTTTTAAACATGTCTTGCTTCAGCTATATCAGAAACATTGAAATGAGATATGATATAAAAACAAAACTGGAGTCAACTAAATGTTTGTTCCTCTTTTACTCCCGCTTGTAACTTGCGTACCAAGCATGGAAGGCTATCATAACATGACACCTGCAATGAGTACATATAAGTTGGCCAGAGAAACAATTAACCTTTATAATGAGTTTTACGCAAGAAAAAGTCGCAGAAAAGATGATTTTGAGCACAGAATAAAATGAAAACTAATAATATAAAAGTAGAAATGGTGTTGTCTTTATAAGCACACATGTAGGTAAAAAAATATTATGGTCTAACATTGTAGCGTTTATTTCGCCAATTATTCATATATTTAGCTGCATACACAAGCTAAGTAGTTATTTATGTTCTCATGCTCTTATACACTCTACAGATTTGTGTTTAGATTGAGCTTGTGTGATTTTTGATCAGTACATGATAAACGAATCAAGTAAACAAAGTGATCATGATTTTACATTTGACCTCTTCTTGCTTACCACATCCTTAAAAACATGTTATGACTACAGATCGTAGTTCCGGCTACTGCCATGTATTAGCAATATCCCTAGTACCGATGTATATTAATGATGATAAATACCGAAATGTGTCAGGCATCAAGAACAATTAACTACAAGAACAGCGACTTTTTTGACCAAAGGCCTTTATTATCACTTCGTAGAACCAGTTGGACTAAGAAATTCTTATGATCTGCTGAGATTGGTCCTGGCATCTACCTTTAGTTGATGCGATAACATCGGAGGTGGTTCGAAATTCTATAATGTTCTGTTGTTCACATCCACACAATGAAATGTGTTTATGTTCTGCGTGCCAAAATGGCTTATCCGTTCGCTTTGGCAGTACCAATAGATAAAAATATATGAGCTGCAGTTCTTTACTACGTCATAGGCAAGCGATGTGATTGGCAATTGCAGACCTGACACGAGACACGGTTTATAATGGTGATATGCACAACAACAATAACATAGCAAAGCATACCAATAAATATCCGTAGACACAGGTATAAATCAGGATCATTACGACACTACGAACAAAATACTGTCATATAGAACAAAATAATTAAGTCATTCGAAGTATTAGTCGACAAAAAATACGGTCCAAAAATCAACTATGCATCTCATATTTCTTCTCATTAACAATAATAACCGTTGATTAAAGGGGATATTTTATTCAACGCGGACATAGAATGGTAAAAAATTTGAAAGGCAAAATGAAGACATAGGCAAAGGCACTCATTTCGTAAGATTCTAAAATATAATACATCAATAACCTAGCATCTTCAAGAAGAAAAGAAATAGGTGCACAATTTCGATTTGTACTGCGCCAAAAGAAAGGAGTTGCTCGCATGTCGCTCGTTTGATATTAGCTTTATATTTGTTTGTTTGACGGCCAACAAGCACTTCATTCCTACTATTCGTTTTTTTCGTTCTCAAATGACATCCGAACTTTAGAATCGCAAAAATCGGCGGTTTTGGATAGTTCATCTATCTCGCCACCTTTCAACTTTTCTGTAAATGTATGTATGATATGTGAAAAACATCTTGCTGCCATTTTTTCTGGGAAATAGAATGATTCGCTAAAATTCAGAACAAGTTGCTCATCCGTACAGCTATATACAACAGCATCCACATACGACTCATCAATTATACAAATAGTGAATATTTCATTCATATAAGTAAAAATAAGTGGATTTAAGATGATGTTGATAAATTCATTAGCTGTGTAGATTAAATCATTTCTGATGATCCCTGTAAAATTATAAATTGCCTTAAGATGTTTTACAGGAAGCACACTCTTCCGTTTGAGATTAGAGTAGGGAATATACAGGAAATTATTCTGATCCTTAGAATAGGAGAGCATGGTGCTCCAGAAAAGCTTGTAGAAGTAAGGGCGGTCGATCATTTCTTTCGGCATTCTTATGTAAATCTCAAATAATTCAGAGCTGTACTGGTGTAATGGAATAACGAACAAACAATCCTCATCATTAACTGTACAACTAAACATTATTACCAACGATGATTTTGCGCCTTCATCCACATATCTCGCAGCTACTTCTCCCATCTCATCCGATGCAAGGTAATTAACAAACATTTTGGTTTTTCTTCTCAAATATAATCTCAATGTGATGTATAAGCCAATTATACCCGTGATGAATACTAAAAATCCTGCAAAGAACAATATAGCCAATAACCTTCTATATTTGAAATTTCCTGATTCAGCATCAGATTTATTGCGCGAATCATATGATCCCGCGTAATTTATCCCATAATATGACGATTGATCGGTGCTGATGTTAAAGGGAGCAGATAGATCACCTAAAGAAAAGTCTGAGTCATCGATGCTGCTCACGATCATTGACGATGGGCACGAAAATTTTTGATTTGTTGATAGTTTCTGCATCGTATTTAGGTATCAAAAAGGTGTTGCTGTCCCACGATAGTAGCCCATTTAATATTTTACAACGCTTCTAAAAATGTACATGTCAGAAAAAAAGGATATTAGTTATTATTGCAAAAAATACGTTGTTTAGCATTATATGGGAGTAACAGTTGTAGAGATTGTGAGAAGACAGTCGAGTTATTTTAGTTTAATAGATTTTGTTTTGTTTAGTAAATAAAAATGGCGTACTTGAACAGATTATAGCAACTAAATCGCATATAGAGATGTTCTTCGATGGTGCTCTATTTAAATTCTCTAACAGATTTTTACTAAGGCAATTACATAATTAGCTAATGAACTTAGTCATTTGGATTATGAATCCAAGGCCGATGGTCATAGTCATCCGATGTACCAAGAAATATGTTTGTTGGTATTAGATGTGAATTAAAACACAAACATATTTTCAACAACAAAAGCACGCTATTAGAATAAACAATCCATTTTTGTTGTTATCTTCCTTATCTGTTGACTTGTGCTACCCACTAATAGCTTAAAGACACTGTAACTTGCACATCATTTATTTCTCTTGTCGCTAATTCAGTTAAACGGATTATTTAAGCATGCTTAAATCCAAATACAACTTGTTATTTTCCTATTTACAACGTATTCAATGTCAATCCGTAAGATAAAAGAACAACATTCAGTGAAATAAATTCAACTAAAATCCATAAATATATTTCTGATGGTATTATATATCATCTTCATAATCGTTTTCGTTTAGTACCGAATTATTATCACAATCATCATTGTGTAGGTAAAATGACAACACGAAATATGATTGGTCAGTTGGTGGGAAATAAGTTATTTTACTTTCAAGAAAAATTAAAATTTTCGTTTGACATCTTTGCATTAAATAAAAATTCAACGGCTGTTATTCCGTATATCTCTTCTGACATATCCTCAATTATATTTGCAAGCACCATTAACTACATGGTTAACGAATAAATCAACTTTAGACTCATACCAAAATACTCAGAACGAAAGAAAAAACATAACATATTGACAAAAGAAATCTACCTAGTAAATAATTGAACCTCTGTTTCATAAACAAAAATAGCACAGCTAGTGTACATATAAAATTACTAATAAGCTTATAAATTCCCTTTTTAGCTGCTAAGAGAGAGCATAGTTCTTTTCTATAGAGTTTATGAATCACATAAACAAAGGAACTCTACCGTTGTAAAATTCATATAGCACAATTTTTTTAATAATTCGGTATAAAATTGTTTTATATCGTTAAAGTGCCGTAACTACACGTGTAATAAACGTATATTTATCGATATAGTATAGAAAGAGCAATACCAAACATTTTATGGCGTCTAGCCTCAAAATATTAAGCTGTAGCAGTTGGACTGTTGGCAGAAAAAACAGCACTATGTTTAACAATCGAATTCATTTAATTTAAAGATAATATACACCCAAGGCTCGTCTGTTAATTCAAACCTTTAGTAAAACGTATTGGTACAAAAACTAAGGATGATCTTACTATCGGTGCAGTTGCACACAAAAAGAAGTTTTATCAAATTTGACATGAGTAGATAATATTTAACAGTTACCAGCACATGAATAAAGGCTTTTGCATTCTTATACGGTACTAGGTACAGTCTGTAACCAGACACTAAAAAGTGTGTTAAAGA